ACACACTAGGCTTCTCCAGTGAAATACAGAGGCAGTAGATGTTGTAATGTAGATGATGTAATCAGTCCAACAATCTTGGAGGAAAAGTGTTCAACTCTAAGGCTGAGGGACTGAACACCTCAAATGCTTTTTCTCCAAGGTTGATGGACTGATTACATCACCTTTATTTCATTACTAATCCTACTGCCTCTGTATCTGACTGAAGAGGCCTGCTGTGTAGGCGAAACGTTTCATCAATAAGGATGCCCAACTGTTGTACATGTGTCTTAATTTACAGCATTCTTCCCTATCCTCATTCTGTTAACTATAGCACTGAAGCTGTCTAAATACTTCCTTACTGAGATTCAAAGATAAAGAACCCAGCAACTGTTTTTTGGAATACTCTTCTTAATGTCCATGTAGCAGGTCTTTGTAACAGTAATAACCCCTTGACCATCTTTCAGATTTCTCTGTAACGCCGAAATTTAGTGTCTATTGCAAAATCCCTCAACTGTGTCCTTCCCTTACCCTCATATGTCCCTGTTAATTTACCAGTCCTAATTCGTCTATGTTGTAAACTTGCTATAGCCCCTCTGTTCACCTTGTAAATCACTGTACATGTTGAGATTTTTGTTTTGTAAATCCACGTAACTTTTACAACACTTTGGTCGTCCTGTAAATCACTGTAAATAATACCACCGTTAGTCTAAATATAAATTACTGTACCTTTAAAACCTCTGAGTAGCAAATCCCTATTAATACTGTAATCTTTTGTCTAGCATTTATACCCTTTTGGCGCCTCAGTATACTTTGTAATTTCCCTTAAATATTACCATCCTTTATCATTTAAAAGCCCCATAAATGTTACGATCCCCTTTCGTGTAGTGTATTAAATGTCCTTTCGTTATCACAATAAATTCCCTTGTCTTTCCAACTTTATAAATCCTGTTCGGTAAAAAGGCCACACGTACAACTAATGTGACATTTAATTGCGGCAACGTTTCGCTCTCCAGAAGCTGTGACAAAGTTCCTGTAGAGCAAAACGTTGGCTCAGTAAAATGTTGCATTAGTTGCACTAGTGTCCTCTTACCTAACACAATCGGTACGTTTTCCCTCATTAATAATTATCCCCACAAGCCTCTTGATTTCCTCTCTTTAGCACTAATGTCCTCACTCACCTCCCTTGTTACACTCAGCATCACTCTCTTCCCCCTTGTCCTCTGTCCCAGCATCCTCACTAACTCTTGTCTCACCGTTCCTCAGCTTCGTCTTTCTAGCCGCCATAATAGCAACTCCTCCATTTTTTCCACCCTCTAGGAATTGAAGAGAAAGGAACGTCAGCTTCTAGCTCTCGGAGACACACTCAATGAACTTGATTGTTGCTTTTGCACCACTAAGGTACCTATGCTGTATCATGTAAAAGATTAGCACTAGATGTCCTTCAAGTTGATATATTTTTTCCCATATTTCTCTGTTTCTCTCTCTGTTTCTACTTAGCAATAACGTAAGTTTTCAAGTTGTATGGAACACGAAGCAAATCGTCACTAGTTGGTAACATAACATAGCCTGATAATATTATTGGAACGTCTCTAAATGTCTTGAATTCTACTGGTATAGAAAAGTTTTTACGCTTGAATGTGTAAAAAAAAATGTCTAGTCATACGATATAGATGAACTGACACAGCGTTAAATAATGTGATAGACCTATGGCACCGAGCTAAGTGTGGCACTGCCAATCCTGTGTAGTAGAGAACTAAAGATGGCACGGTTAAAGGTGGTACATTTTGGCGTATGACGAACAAAGTGGCACTCAGTGTGCCTCAGGGCGTTTTAAATAGACCCATTTTCAGAGCAGCATATATCACGATCGGGTCCATCATTTTGAAATACGGTGTAACAAATACTGAAAATGCGTCTCCAGCGATTTTCCCTTGAGACTGACGAACGATAAGATGGGTTATTGAACGTACCAGAGAACCCTGGATAGAGAAACAAATGTGCCAGATGGTCGGTGGATAGAAGAATTAAACGCAGATGAAGACAGATACGTCGGAGAGACACAGGTTAATGAAGTTTGTCTGATAAGAACTCAAAGACTAACAGCGATTTGATCACCGTAAACGCCCAGGCTAGGAATCAATGCTCACCCTTAATCAAACTTAATAAATCCTACCTGTTATACATTGTGGTGAAAATGGTATACAGATCGACAAGTAAATCAGCAAGTCACATATACAGCAGTTTCCCCATTAGACTATAGACGATTGTATAATTTCATGGCAATACAAAAAAAAAATATTCAGAGCCTCTGTTGGGTTTAGATAACCCTTGTTTTTACATAAACCAAACCTGTCCAGTACCTAAAGGAGCTCTACACTTCCTCCTGCCTCTTCCCATATTGCAGTGCCTTAAATTCCCGTTTTAAGGTTATTTTAAGTAATCTTAAGTAATCTTCTAAGATGTATTTAAGAGTTTTTTTTTTGTCGTTTTAAAGTCAGATAAAATTTGGTTAATAAGTATTTATTTTAAGATCGCCTTATTTTAACCGTATTTCTTGTCACCTTCAGTAACAACGGTGACACATTTGCTGAACGTTCCATACGTCTGTTATCTCCTAGTCATTGTTTCCTTCAATGTTTATACTGAGTCTGTTAATTCAGCACCATTACTCCCTTCATTGTACATCCTTGAGTCTGTTAATTCAGCACCATTACTCCATTGTACATCCTTGAATCTGTTAATTCAGCACCATTACTCCATTGTACATCCTTGAGTCTGTTAATTCAGCACCATTACTCCATTGTACATCCTTGAGTCTGTTAATTCAGCACCATTACTCCATTGTACATCCTTGAGTCTGTTAATTCAGCACCATTACTCCATTGTACATCCTTGAGTCTGTTAATTCAGCACCATTACTCCATTGTACATCCTTGAGTCTGTTAATTCAGCACCATTACTCCATTGTACATCCTTGAGTCTGTTAATTCAGCACCATTACTCCATTGTACATCCTTGAATCTGTTAACTCAGCACCATTACTCCCTCCTGTGTACACCCTGAGCAGCTGACCACTGACTCTCAAGAACTACCCACCATAGCCACGGAAACCCGTGACTTAAAACTCCCTCAGCACATTTTGCTACACCCTTCAACCTCGTCAACCATCCTTACTTTAACACAGTTTAGCAATTCTCTGACACTCTGAGATCGACACTAATGTGGGAACTCTCTTCATGTACACTAAATCAAGCCTGTACAGCAGCAGCGCTTACCTAAATCTCGTTTTCCTCTCGTCAATGCTTCTAATATCAACCCCGCGACTCTCCTGCCCACACTCCGTAAGTGAAAAATGTACCATATCCCACCGGAAAGTACTGTGAATAACTTAGGATAGTTTAATTCGGATTCTAACATAAATTGAATATAATGCTGATAATATGAAGACAGATGCGTGTGAAATATCTGGGTATTTTTATTTGTAGACGTTTAGCCCCCCTCAATGGCTTTATCAGTACAAATTTAAGGACATAATGGGGAGAATGTAGAACTATATACGAAAGATGAGGTAATCAGTCCCTCAGTCTTGTAGTTGGTGTAGAGTACCGTAGTCTTGAAGACTCGTTCAACATTCTCCCCATTATGTCCTTGATTTTGTACTGATAAAGCCAGTGGGGGGGGGCGAGAAACGTCTACAAATATACCCAGATGTTGCACATGGGTCTAATTCCTCATCACTGTGCACCACTAAATGTTCCTTGGCATAATTAAGTCGTAAAAAAAGTGCTATTTACTTTTGCAAGCTTAAAACGATTTATATTGTCATTTAGCACACAAGGAATGTGGCCTAAGGATGTACACTGTAATCATTCTGTATCCTACTTCCTCCTCCTGTAATCCTCCCCTTAATTATTTTTTTTTATGTTTTTTTTGTTTAGTATACTTATTTATCATTTGGATTATTTAAAGTAGGTAGTTCCACGGCATAATTTTCTCCATGGAGTCAGTGCTTCATGGATACGTTTATGACACTGGCATAAGTGTATGGCACTCTGTACCGGTTGTCTGAGGCACTGTACAGTTGTCTAAAACACACTGACAGGTATCTGAGGCCCTGTAACATGTCTGAGGTGCTGTACAGGTGTTTAAAACACACTAGCAGGTGTCTGAGACATCCTAATAGGTGTCTGGTTGTATCCCCGGTTTTGCATCAGTGTTATGTTCAGCATTATCGATATTCACAAGTAAACTTAAGTTGATGGCGAATGGCACTGTTGTGGGTGTCTGTGTATCATGTATTAGTGTCCCAGGACGCACACACACACACACACACACACACACACACTCCATCACTCCCCCACACTGTGCACTTCTAGCACTTGGCCCACCTGGTCGTTTCCACATTACGTAATCCATGTCCAGTGTCCCACTCTCTGCGAAACGTCTGCCTGTAAAGATACCCAGATGTGGTACATGTGTTTAATCCTTCAACACTTAAACTATCCATCAATGTTCTATTGCACACGCTAAGCTCCGCTGTTTTTTGTATGTGTGAATGTCCGAGGCACCAGCCCCACCACACTGTTATATCAGCCTTCTTCTTCATGTCGTCTATACGTTTCTGGCTAACTTCTTCTTGGCTTGCTGTCAACGCAGCACTTAATATACAGAGTTGGTCTGTGTATCCCGCTAGTTAGGAAAGACGAATAGTAACACTGATTTAGCTTTCTGTTCAAATCTTGGCATTTTTGACTGACCATTCTCCTTGGCCCAAATCCCAGTACTGATATAGGGTTGTATAACTGACATGTGCCCCGCATCACTTACGAAGAGTCTACCTCATTTGTACCGAAACCATTCTTGTTGTCGCTAGGTTTTTCTTGGATATGACTCAGTTATGCTCTGAGGTCTTTGATTTTGGGACACGGGAACTGAGGTTATTCATTAGCCTTGGCTACGCTCCACGCTTGTTCCCCCCTCAAACAATCTCCAGTGGCTCCACTTGCTCCCTCCTCCACTAGGACGCAGCCGCTACCCTGGACTGCAAGCAGGTCGACAACAATATGAATGAGGGGGCCAGTGGCCGCTATCACGTCTCCGAGTCGCAACCCAGTATATTCAACCAGGTAGGCGACCAGGATGCACCGGCAACAACCAGCTCCCTCTCTCTCTATCTCTCTCTCTCTCTCTCTCTCTCTCTCTCTCTCTCTCTCTCCTCTCTCTCTCTCTCTCTCTCTCTCTCTCTCTCTCTCTCTCTCTCTCTCTCTCTCTCTCTCTCTCTCTCTCTCTCTCTCTCTCTCTCTCTCTAGCCTTACACTAAAGCAGCACTACTACGTCACTGCCTCTCCCTCTGCCTTACACCCACAACACTACACTGCTGGCTGGCTCATCCACACAACACACTCTACACCACACCACTGCTTGCTACACACACACACACACCTCCCAACACTACACACCAGGCCCAAATTCCACTCTACACCCAGATCTTCACTTACCACATAAACACCCACACCCCTACACACACACTTGATCAAGCACGTATATGCACAGGCCCAGAAGTCTGAAAAAGTCCATAGATTTACAAGCAGACTAATAAATGAGCTAAGAACCAGAAGACAGAGTTTAGAGAGAGACATGATTACAACGTACAATATACTCAAACGAACTGGTTGTATCGATTTGGAGATGTTAGGACAGTATGGTTGATGGACGTAGATAAACATAAAGAATAAACATACAGATAAATCACAATGATAATTACAAAGTACTGTCTCGACCTCAGTGTAGTCTGGAAGAGGAATGAACCTCGTGTACAACCTCATGTAGAAACTTATCTACAGATAGAGGAGTAAGTATCGTGAGGTTCAAGACGACAAGAAACAATATTGTTGACTGGAAGGCTCAGGCTGCTGGGCCTTAAGCAGACACTCATCCTCAACAAACAGCACTCGTCAGGCACACACAGACTACTGTAAGCAACAGAACTTAAGAAGGGAGATTGCAAGGTTGACACTTGCAACTTCTGCTAGATCACTGTACACATAGACAGAATAACAGGAAGTATACAGAATAACAGTAAGTATACATTCTGTCCCACGTATAGGAGAAACATTTGACAGTTCACTACTAGCAACACTAGACAGTTCACTACTAGCAACACTAGACAGTTCACTACTAGCAACACTAGACAGTTCACTACTAGCAACACTAGACAGTTCACTACTAGCAACACTAGACAGTTCACTACTAGCAACACTAGACAGTTCACTACTAGCAACACTAGACAGTTCACTACTAGCAACACTAGACAGTTCACTACTAGCAACACTAGACAGTTCACTACCAGCAACACTAGACAGTTCACTACTAGCAAAACTTGGCAGTTCACTACATGCAACACTTGGCAGTTCATTACTAGCAGCACTAGACAGTTCACTACTAGCAACACTAGACAGTTCACTACTAGCAACACTATACAGTTCACTGCTAGCTATCTGCAATTGACAGTTCACTACTAGAAACAATAGACAGTTCACTACTAGCAACACTAGACAGTTCACTACTAGCTATCTGCAATTGACAGTTCACTACTAGAAACAATAGACAATTCACTACTAGCAACACTAGACAGTTCACTACTAGCTATCTGCACTTGACAGTTCACTACTAGCAACAACAGACAGTTCACTACTAGAAACACTAGACAGTTCATTACTAACAATAATAGACCGTTCACTACTAGCAACACTAGACATTTCACTACTAGCTATCTGCACTTGACAGTTCACTACTAGCAACAATAGACAGTTCACTACTAGCAACACTAGACAGTTCACTACTAGCAACACTAGACAGTTCACTACTAGCTATCTGCAACTGACAGTTCACTACTAGAAACAATAGACAATTCACTACTAGCAACACTAGACAGTTCACTACTAGCAACACTAGACAGTTCACTACTTGCAACACTAAACAATTCACTACTAGCAACACTAGAAAGCTCACTACTAGCAACACTAGACAGTTCACTACTAGCAACAATAGACAGTTCACTATTAGCAACACTAGACAGTTCACTACTAACAATAATAGACCGTTCACTACTAGCAACACTAGACATTTCACTACTAGCTATCTGCACTTGACAGTTCACTACTAGCAACAATAGACAGTTCACTATTAGCAACACTAGACAGTTCACTACTAACAATAATAGACCGTTCACTACTAGCAACACTAGACATTTCACTACTAGCTATCTGCACTTGACAGTTCACTACTAGCAACAATAGACAGTTCACTATTAGCAACACTAGACATTCATACTAACAATAATAGACCGTTCACTACTAGCAACACTAGACATTTCACTACTAGCTATCTGCACTTGACAGTTCACTACTAGCAACAATAGACAGTTCACTACTAGCAACAATAGACAGTTCACTACTAGCAACACTAGACCGTTCACTACTAGCAACACTAGACCGTTCACTACTATATATATATATATATATGAACTCCAAAAAATTTTAATTAAAGGCAGTGACCTGGAAGTGGACCTGAACCCCTGTAGGAACAATTAGGCACACACACACACACGCACACACACACACACACACACACACACACACACACACACACACACACACACCACCACACACACACACACACCAACACACACACACACACACACACACACAATAAGCAAGTCACCGTAATACCTGTTGTCCCTGTTCACCTAGCAGTAAATAGGAGCCGGGTGTTAGTTCCTGAGGGTTACATCTTGGTTAAGAAGCTGAGAATGCAATTGCAAATAATACCTAAGGAACAATACTATCAGCACTTTTCTACTGTGGCTAAGTCAGCACACAACCGAGAAAGCCCGAGTTCGATTCCCGGGCAGGGCAAAATACATATTCAGTTCCCCGTGAACGTTTCAACCCCCTTTCACCTAACAGTAAACAGGTACCCGGGTAGTACCGGGAAACTGTTGTGGGTAGCATTCTAGGTAAACAAAAATATAAACAAAACAATAACTTTAAATTAATGTACTAGCTTAAAGCCAGTCAACTAGTAGACAGTTACATTTTAACTGTCAGTCAGAGGCTCAGCTAACGGGTTTTCAATTAGTCACTCTTGTAGCTCCATACTCTGGAGCCAGTCTTCACACAGCGCCAGCCTTCATACACCCAACACAGTACTCACGGTGTTTTAAAAGCTTATACATTCTTCCAGCTACTCCCTGTGTGCTTGTTTGTTTTTGTGTGTGTTTGTGTGTGTTTGCCCTTAATTCCTCTGATCTAAAATCATTCTCATAATTATAAATGTTTTAGGTGTGACGTTATAACTTAACAACATTATAGCTAACCGCTTTAGGATTATAGATCATTCTGTGAGGGTTTTGGTAGTTCGTATTGCTAACATTTCACAATTGTGGTTTGTATCAAACAGCTGGATTTTGCACAGAATAATCTTTACTGATATATTGACGGGGGAATAACTGGCTCTGGTGTTAGTTATCGGCAGTAAGCTGTTGAAATAGATGGTACTAATGTCAGTAATCAGCAGCTGAACTGAAGAGTTCACTGCGAAAAGCGAAGTAACAGTGTTCCTTGAGACATAGACAGAGCCTAGCGCTGTTGTTTACACAGAGGGAGTGCATCTGTACACATAGAGCCTAGTACTGATGTTTACACAGAGGGAGTGCACCTTCACACATAGAGCCTATTACTGTCGTTTACACAGAGGGAGTGCACCTTCACACATAGAGCCAGTGCTGTTGTTTACACAGAGGGAGTGCACCTTCACACAAAGAGCCAGTGCTGTTGTTTACACAGAGGGAGTGCATCTTTACACATAGAGCCAGTGCTGTTGTTTACACAGAGGGAGTGCACCTTCACACATAGAGCCAGTACTGTTGTTTACACAGAGGGAGTGCACCTTCACACATACACAGAGTCTAGTACTGTTGTTCACACATACCACGAGGCCTAGTCACAAACCGGGCGCGGGGGCGTTGACCCCCAAAACTCTCTCTCCAATATATGCCAGGTATATACACAAAGCCTAGTACTGTTATTTACTCAAAGGGAGGGAGAGAGGGAGGCAGTGTTCCTTCACGCAGATTCAAAGCCTAGTACTCTTTTGTTTACTCAGAGGGAGGAAGGCAGAGAACTTCCCGCTAGAAAATTCTTCAGCACCAATCCATTTGAGGAGGTGAACCTTGGAATACTGTAGTTAAGTAAACCGGAAGTGTCTTGTAAGGTAAACCAGGAGAGTTGCACTTCACTTTCACTATAGTGTGGACAGAGCACCTTCACCAATTTTATACAAAGACCGTGGACGCGGTAAAAGATTCATAATAATCACAAATAAATTAGAAAATCATTTTCAACAATCTCATTACTCTATTCGGATGCAGAATGCTTAGTAACCTTTGCAACTGTTACACGTTCCAAAATAATAATTTTTCATAGTCTCACCATTAAATTTGATTAATTAGGCGAGTTCATCATGGCATTATCCATAATGTTAAGTTCAATTCGAGGGTAAAATATATCCGTGGTCTTCCTCACAGCAGGGGCTTTGGATGTCCTCTTTATCGAATAATTTAAAAACGTAAAAACAGTGTTTCTTTACAAGTGTCGTTGCATTAGAGATAGAATCCAGCTACTTAAGTAGCTGTGTAGTGTAGTATAGCAAAGGAGGTTTTTATATCTCACTGACAAGATGCTTGAAGCGTCGTAAAATAAAGGATTCCTTACTCTGTATGGATAAACTATCTAACGCCATGACACTTTAGAGTGTATTTGAGGTTTGTTGAGAGCACAGTGTATGTGAGTGATTACGGACCCCAGCACGACCTTTGAGAACACTGTGTCTGTCAGTTGTCTAAGGCCCAGCACGAACATGAAAGAACACTGTGAGTGACTAAGGGCTCCAGCACTACCTTTGAGAACGCTGTGTTTGTGAGTGATTAAGGGTTCCAGCACGACCTTTAAGAACGCTGTGTTTGTGAGTGACTAAGGGCTCCAGCACGACCTTTGAGAACGCTGTGTTTGTGAGTTATAACTGGCCCAACACGATTTCGGTCAACACTGAGTAACTAGGGACCTCA